GTTGAGGGATGGAAAAAATGGGATTAAGGAAAAATGTTTCATGTTTTCAGGGGCCTTTGGGGAACTGAGCAAAAAAGGCTCAGACGAGAGGTGTTTGGAGGCTGCAAAGCCATTGTGTGTGGCATGGCCATAAGCGGGTACCAGGACATCTCTGCCCCACAAGCAGCATTCCCAGCTGGGAGCAGGCAGTGCTCCTGCATGGCACTTACTGGGAGCACAATCACATCCCATAACAGCTCCACAGGGCTGCTAAACTGCTAACAACCCTCTTACCTGCTCCTGAGGACCAAGGTCTGAGGCATTAGCCTAGCTTGGAAAGACATCATTGCTCCCAACTAGTATGTCTGAGCCTTCAGAGTTGTGAACAGGTAATAGAATTGCAGCAACAAATAATAAAAAGAGGAATGAAATGGAAGGCAGCCACTGGAAAAGAGATCCATCCGTTATCCTGCCCTGAAGGGTAATAGGTAAACAAGGCGTTGGGGTACCGGCTGGCGCCAAGCTTGCCAGCACAGGAATAATAAACAGTGCAATTATAACTTCTGTGCTGGGAGGTTGCAAAGAGGGGGAAAAAATATGGAAAAATCAATAGCATTAATTTAACTAGTTACAGACGTTACATTTGTGACTCTGAGGGGGAGGCAGGACATACTCGAGGGGCTGGCCTGGGAGGCACCAGCAAAGCCTCTGCCCAACCTGCTGCACCCAGACGTGATGCTGCACCCGGCTGAGCGCCCATCCTGGCCCTGGCACCACCCACAGCTGGGGAAGTCACTGGGTGCATCTCACACGAAGGGGGAGCGATAGGGTGGGGACACCTCCAAGAGCAACCCCCCGGCAGGGCAGGTGCCAAGCTGTCAGCACGCCCTACCGTTGCCGCGCCGCTTTATTAAGGGCTGAGAAGCTGCGAGGGGAAGGAGTGACAGATTTAAAATTAACTTGCCAAACTCCCCATCAATATTATGACAATTTCCCGCATCGGTTCAGCGACCCGGCGCGCTGCCTGACAGCATTAACGTGGCTGCGCGGAGGCAGAGCTGGCTGCCGGGCTGGCAGCACTTGGGGCGAGCGGGGGCCTGTTCCTCCCTGTGCTACCCCAGCCACCTCGGGGCTGTGCTGGGCAGCGCCAGCCAGCACTCAGCACCCCCTCCAACCCAACCTTTCCCTTCCCCAGGGCTGTAAAGAAGCAGCAGCCCTGTTTTACAGGCGAGGATACGAGGAACAGCATCCTCGGAGGACCAATTTGCAGAGGGAAGGGATGCTTCCCATTTGTGGAAAGGTGCTCAGTATGGCACGGCAGCCCTGCATCCTCCAGAGACATCTGCTCTGGGTATGGAGAGGGGAAAACACTTTGTATTTAGCCTTTTTTTTCTCACCAAGCAGCGAAGGAGCACTGACAAAACCCCTCTCCCCTCCAGCCACTGAACCATTTTGGCTGCTTATCTGCCCCAAACACCCAGAAACATCCCGGACTCACTGCATCTCTGCTGGGGGAGATCAAATGTGGGCGAGCAAAGTGTCCCCTCTGTCTGGGGCTATGCCAAGCTGGAGCAAGAGCCAGGATAAGAGGAAGAGCCAGCGGCAGGGATGGGAAGAGACCAGGGTTAGGGCAGGCAGCTGCTCTCCGGGGAGTGCTGTGCCACACAGTGCTGACAGTCTGTTTGCCGTGCAGTAATAATCCAGTGAGTAAAGTTGGCTCCACGGGTAGTAATTTGGGTTTTCTCCATATTAATGGCATAAAAGCAACAGTCTGAAACTGCAAACAGCTCTTAAAAAAAAAATCTCTACTCCCTCGTGGCAAAGAGACGGCACAAAACAGATAAGGAACGAACAAACAACCCATTTGGAAAATAATCCCCTGGTGATTTGGAGATGGTGCGGAGTTCGAGCGCTGCCTCACCGTGAGGCAACGGGGGGAGGAATCGGTCAAATCTAGTCTTTAGCGAGCTGGATCCACCACTGAGCCTCCCAGCTAGACCAAGAGGTGTGACTGGAATAGATCAGCTCCAATCCCACCTATCTATTAACACCGCACAGCATTTCACCAGAGAGAAGCACCTTTCTTTAAAAAAATAAGAGGGATGCCCAAAAGAAGGCCACTCTGAACAGCAGCAGCAGCAATGATATGGTGCACTCCTCCAAGCAGGAACCTTGACGCTGGCTTGTCCAACAGGTCAGTAAAGCACCTCAAACCACCACAACGATAATTAGTGGTTATTAAGCTGCATCATGGAAAAAGTTGTCCGCAAGGCTCCTAACTCATGATGGCTCGAGCTGAGCTGCAGGGATGCTGTGGGGCTCCTGTCTTGCTTCACTGCCGCTGATGGATGGGGAAAGGGTCCTTGGCAGCATCATGAGGGGACGTGTGAGCAGGGACTGCCTCTGCGCAGCACAACGAGGTGTTGCACCAGTGCTGGTGAACATACAGAGCACATATATTGCACACAGTATGAACTGGTCTGGCCTCTGCCTAAAGGTACAGGCAGCACAGGAGTGTTCTGTTGAGCTGGCCAGACACAATAAGGACATCGGTGCTACACCAGCTTCATCCCAGTGCCATGCCGACCATGCGGCCATCAGAAGAGCAAAGGCTCTAATCAGCATTGCAGAGCATTGGGTGGCAAAGAGACCACCCCGAGCCCAACAGGATGGAAATACCACTGTAACTGGTAGGTGTTGCCCAGGCCAGGGTGTGTGAGACAGCTTTTCCTAGCACAAAGGCTTCCTCCCAACACCATGCTGGCATGCCTGGCAGATTGAGAATATCCTATTTATTAAAGACACTGAAGATGCGGCGACATGGGAAGCAGACACCATTCAAAGGACTGTCACATCTGCATAGCTAAAGGATCCCAGCAGTTATAAATCCCTCTAAAATACTCAGCCCCTTGTTCTGATAGCAGGTTCTTGCTCCTACTTTGCAGAAACAGGCTTTTAATCCCTGGTATTAGGCAGCTTCCTGCTATGTTTCAAATGCACCAAATTAAGGGCTTCTCTAACAGCTGGTGTCTTAATGCTCAGAGAGGTTCTTGAATATCTATGAAAATCAGAGGCAAATTACATCTTTTAGTTAATAATTTCTTCTCCATTAACCTCTTTCTCTTCCCTTGTTAGGAGATGATGTAACGGTGCTTCTATGGCATAACCCTACAACACACCGAGCAGCCTGGCCGCAGGGAAGGATGCTGCGCGCAGGGAAACGAGCCCTTCTCATCACTGCCTGGTGCTTCTGGAGCCAACCGGCTGCACGAAATGGGAAGGGGTGGCTGTGCTGACCTTCCAGGCTGCCAAAAGCACTTCTGGAGCAAGATGTGCTGCCTCCTGCCAGGCTCTGAGCTCTGCCGAACCAGAGCATCACACGCTGTAGTCTGCAAACAAACTTTGCAGGTCACTCTTGGTTCATACCTGCTTTCTCCTGCCCCTCGCAGCTGTTACACCCAGGAGTAGTCTCACAACCAATGCTGGGCACCAAAACCCTTAGCTGTGATAACGTGGTTGTGCAGAGGACTGGGATCCCACTGCACAGACCCTCACTGAGAAAAGCTGCCCTGCTCTGTGCACACTCCAGCCATCACACAGCCTCAGACTGCCCAAACCCACCATCCCTGGGATGCTCCTGGGCGGCATGACTCGCAGAAGCCACATCTCCCAAGATAATCTAGACCCATAGATAACCTCGCATGCTTTCCAGCTGGAATTTACCCAAGGACTTTTGTGTTTGCTTCCCAGCAGTGACAAAGCAGCCCTTAGACTCCAGCCCTGGCTGAGGCAGGGGAAGGATGATTTTCCAACCCTCCTGCTTTGTAGAGCAAAGGATGAGCTGCAGAGGAATTAAAGCGACTGCAAAAGGAGGTTTGGTGCTTAGGGACTGATGGCATAAGCTGGGGTTGGACCTCATTTGGGAGAGTCTGTCTGGATCTGACATTTCCAAGCAATGAGTCTGGGGACTTTATGAAGCCCCTAGTCCAGTTCATGGAAAATTTCAGCTCTGCAGCCCTTGCTCTGCTCTGACAGACCCAGTGATACTTGTAACGCAGGAGGGAGAGAAGGCAAAGAGGAGCCCACTGGGAAAATTGCCTTCGTGTACTGTCAATTCTCACTTCCAGCAAAGGCTGCGGCTCTGCCGGCTCCCAGCACTCCACTGGCTGTGGCTTTCTGAGCACCTTTGGGCTGGCGAAGCTCGTAATTCATCTGCCATCAAGAGAGCACAAGGCCAGGGTTCAATGTGAATTCATAGCTAGGAAGACTCAGCACTCAGCAGGGGAAAAAGCATGTAGAAAAACACAGTGATGAGCACCCACAACTGCAGCTAAAATCAGAGGCAGCAATGAGGTCTCAGTGCTTTAATAGGAGAAACGTCTCAGTGCACAGGCGGATGCTGGGCAAAGAAGAGTTGTGTCTGGGTGGGATGTGGGCTGGATCCTCTCCTGACCATACTCAGCACTGCTGCTTTGAAACTCCTACACCCACCTTGGGTCACACCCAATCAAAATGCTGTTGCATTCAGTGAAACAAAGAAAAAAATAAGTCAACTCATTTTCCAGCCTTGAATTCAGCAACTACCAGCAAGATCTCCTCTGTGAGCACTAAAAAATGAAGATCTGGGCTGTTCAAAGCCTGTTTTCCCCACCCATACCTGACCTTTGGCACTCCCGATGTACCTGGGATGCAGCTTGCAAGCATCTCGTGCTACTTGCACTCTGGTGGTGTATTTACTGTCAGATTATTTACGTTATTTCTTATTATGCTATACCCATGGCTTCTCCCAGTACTATAACTGGAGGCACTAAATAAAACCAGCTTACTTAGACTGAAAACACACCAAAGGAAATGCAGTGTAACAATTCATGTTACATGCAACTAAATGACAGAACCGATTGTCGCAGGATATTGCAGAGACAAAGGACATCGGCAGTCAGAGAGATGAGGCAACACCAACCAAGAAATGCCCATCAAAGGTGATTGAACACACTGAAACTAGGAGCAGAACAGGGCCATACCTGAAAGTCATCTGGAAAACCTGCCCTTGGTTGACATGCTGGCTCCTGTTGTTGTAGCCGTGAAGCATCTCCCCAAAGAGGGTGTCATTGAACTTGGCATCTGACTTCAGGCACTTGGGGCCCTCGCAGATGTCCGACAGCATCAGGCAGGACTTCCCATCCGGAGCCAGCTTGTACTCCTCCACGCACCTGCAGAGCAGTGGGAGCTATGTCAGATGGGCCACCCCAAGAGCCCTACTGCGGGATGAGTCTCTGCCAAGCCCAGCCGAGCATCGCCAACCCCCACAGCAGAGGTTGCAGAGACCGCATCCTCTGCAGCAGCTTGGTTGGGTAGCCAGCAAATGTGTGCTGGGTACCCAACACCCATCCTTCCTGCAGCAGCATCACCCCATCTGCAGCCATGGGCTCCTGCCTGGGAGCTGCCCCTGAGCCGAGTGGAGCTGAGCCAACTGCTTCCCAGCTTCACCAGTCCCTGCCCACCCGCTTCCCTCTGGCGCTGCTGCAGTGCGGACATGAATGTTCCCCAGGCAAGAGCAAAGCGAAATGGAGCTCCTGCCCTTCATGTTCACCCAGCAGTGCCCTCCCACAAGGAAGCAGCTCCAGCGTGGCTGCTCTCTGGCTCCTGAGTCCCACTTTCAAGCGTGTTGTGGGTAAGAGACGCATGCTCATCTGCAGCATACACTAAGGGAAATTGAGGCAGGCAGCCGGAATATGACTGAATGACAGACACTGGAGACATCAGCGGCATCTTTTGCATATGTGTGCAACCTGTCTCACCTCCTCCTCTTCTCCTTCCTCTGGCCTTGTCCCAGCTCCCTTCTGACAAGGAAGTCTCCGTTTCCTGCCTGCCCCTTCCTTCCTGTAGCCGCAGCTTTCTGCTAATGTCAATCCCACCTTCATTATCCAGGCTTGCTCCCCTCTCCCTTTCCTCTACTGCATTTCACTGCTGCAAGTGAAACTCCCACCCGTCTGTCGCACTTTTCCTTGCCTGTTCCCAATGTGCAGCTCTGCCTTGAAAAGGGATTATTAAAAAAAAAGAGAAAAAGTCTCTGTCCTTGGGGATGGAAGATTGAAATGCAGATCCCCTGCGTGGGCGCAGATGGAGACCACGTAACGTCCCAAGGTTTTTGGTGCCTGTATGGATTTCCAACCCCTTCTGCAGGCATGGCAGAGGCACCATCTCTCTCTTAGTGACTCAACTGCTCTGTGCTGCTAAACAACAATAAAAAAAGAAAGTGATGGGGGGGGGGGGAAAAAAACCAGGAAAAAGGGACAAAAAGAAAAGAGCAGCTGACATGGGCATTGCTCCCTGGGCTGTTCTTTCCCAGGATGCAGCTTGGCCAAGGCTGCGTGAGGTCTCTGCTGCACCTGCAGCATCAGGACTCAACAGATGCTCCTCAAAGTGACTGTTAGGAGTTTGGGGGCATTTCCTTCTCAAAAGGGCTCATTTTCCCCCTTTTCACCCTAATTCTTCCCACCGGGACATGAAGCAGTGCCTGGGAACATGAACCAGCCGAGGGATGCAATGTCAGAGCCCCTGGGTGTGGGCCAGGATGGGCGATGCCTGTAGCAGCTGTGCAGCATAAAGCCAGATAATCACTCGGCTCCTTTTAGAATATACTGCAGCCGGGGAGATTTTCCTGAGAGAAGATGCTAAATTGTGTAGGATTATAGGATCCTGGCCAAAATCAGGGATGAAACTCTATTTTAAGAAAGGCACAGAGGAGAAAAAAATAAATAAAAAAGTAGTATTTTTTAAACAAATCCTCCACCTTCTCCCTCCAACACGCAATGTACAATTTTTGGGTCCCTTCACAGTGAGTCACAGATCAAACCATACCATCACATCATAGGGGAGAGGAGGAAGGTGCATCTGCTCGCACTGTTCCTTGTGCTCCCTTATGCTTTTGCCCGCAGGCAAACCAGGTGCCTCGATTCCCTGCTGGAAGCCAGCTCCATAAAAAGCCTTTTTCTTGGCCACCCAGCTTCCTTGTCGCCCCCCCTGGTTTGGAGATGGGTGGCAGCAGAGGGTTGGAAAAGGGCATGGGTTATTTGTCTGCCTGCGGGAGACACAGGAGGGAACTCACCCGCAGAACATGAAGATGGTGCTGGATGAGGGGTCGTGGGGCAGTGGCAGGGTTTGCTGGAGGCAGAGCTGCTCGCAGCCCCCGTTGAAGCCATCCGAGCAGTCGATCCCTTTGGAGTAGTCGTAGCAACCGGTGCCATCCTTCATGGGTCGGAGGTCCTCGGGGCACTGCAGTGAGAGAGGGGACATGCTAAGGTCACCTGTGGGTCCTCAACCACTCTGGAGGCATGGCTCAGGGGGGGCTCTTCCCAGGGCATAGCCCACCCAGGAGCCAGAGGGATTTGTGTGTTGCACTGCTGAACTCCTTCCACATCTAAAGGAGATGAGTTCATCCTGAGTAGTGGATAAGGCAGCCCCAAACCCAGCCTTTGGGGAGGGGGCAAGGACCACAGGGCAAGAACCTGGTTTGCTGCAAAAGTCATGCACCACATACTCCCTCCAGAGAATGGTGAAATCCTCAAGGCAGCAGAATTAGACAGTAAGGAAGACCTCAAGCCAGTGTGGGGTGATGTGTGGCAACATACTCCATAACGTGCTGGAGAAACACTCTACATTTGTTACCTGTTCCTCTGAGATGCAGAGAAGTCTGGTGTGACCCAGAAAAAACATCTCAACACCTGGGACCAACCCAGAAAACCATCTCAACCCATGCCAGGCAGATCAGCCAACGTGGCCTTGGCATCATCTCCAAAAACATCTCATTGCATCCTGCATGAGGAGGCATTGGCGGCAGGACCAGCCTGCGGTGGAGGCAGGAGTGGGGGAGGACAGGATCACAGCCCAGGCTCAGCACAAGAGCTTTCCACAGCTGAGAGAGCCATGCTGAGTCACACAAGCTGGGGATCTGGCTCTAGCTTTTAATTTCAGTTCCCCAGCTGGCTTTCCTTGTCCCCAAAGATAAAAGCCAGCAGGCGGCAAATGTCATCAATAAATTGTCACCCAGATTAAAGCACTCTCTTATTCCACTTGCGTTATTTATCCCTTTTCACCAACCACACACGCAGACAAACAACAACAAAAAGGCCAGTCCTTGAAAAAATAAATAAATCTTGCCTAGGAGCAGCTCGCAATTAAAAATGCATTATGGAATTTCTTGCAGATGAGTTAGACAGGAGGCTGTACAGGTAGTGACGAAGGCAGGTTATAAATGGCCCGCGTCAAGCAGAAGAAAGGTTATAAAATAGCTTAAAAAAAGAAAATCAATTTTCCGTGTGAGTGAAATGCTGTACATATTAATAAAAGTTCAGGAGACCCTGGACCCTGCTCTTGCTGCCACAGGCAGGGTCCCAGGAGCTCACTCTTGGCTACTCAAGAAGCAAACTGCCCGCAGGAGACATCAGAAAAGTGCTTTAGGGAGTCCTGGCCCACCACATCCAAATGATGAGAAATTTTTCTCCACCCTCAAGAAACCCTGTGCCATTTTCCCATGGCTGCAGCATCAAAGCTGCTTCTGCCCCATCTGCAGCAACCGCAGTGTCTTGGGCATCTCCGTGCTTGATGCCCTTTGGACACCTCGCTGGTTCCCTCAGCTCTGCAGCTCGGGTGGACCTTGCAAACCTCAGCACCTTCCTTAGATAAGTTGGGAAGGGCAGGCAAGGGAAGGCCAAGAGGAACAAGACTTTTCTAGCCAAAGGATGTTGGCAGCAAAGGGCTCTGGAATAGCATAGTGCCCATCTCTGCAGAGCAGGCAGGGCACGGGCAGGGCACAGGCAGGGTCCTGGAGAAGCAGGAGTCCTGACAAGGCACAAAGCAGCAGAAGCCAGGGGAGCAGAAGGCTTTCTATCCACATATACAGAATAAATATGAAGGTGGAGAAGACACCTAGAACAATCTGTGCTTTTCACCACTGAGCTGCCTGGGAAACAGGATCAGGATAAGGGTGTTTGGGAATCCACAGATACAATGCTTATCTCCTGCGGTCTCCTCTGTGTCTGCCAGCCCAACTGTAAGAGTAAGAGCTGTGCAAACTGGCAGAAGCACATCTCCCTGGAGGACACAGAGGGCTGACTGCAAACGGCATCTTCCACTCCACAGCACCGCATCCACTTCTCTGCTGCAGTCCCCATGCCAAGGGGGATAGGGAGGTCTGGAACTCTGCTCAAGTCCCCTCTGGCGCTCCCAAGAGACCTTCCAGGGTGCTGAAGGCAACTGGATGGGACCTTAAGTCAGCAGAATTTACAGGATCATAGCTGGAGGATCAGTCATGGCTTTTCTGAGCTGTCACTTGGGTCCCTTACCCTGGCACTGATCCATGTGCTGAGCTCAGTGTCTCCCCCAGCCCACAGAGGAAGAGGATGGCTCTTTCCCCGGGCCAGGGCTAGCGGGTCACCAAAGCCCTCCGTCCCTTAGCCCCACTTTGCTCAAGGCCACCCTCGGGTTATTTCTACAGTTTGGGCTTTCAATCACAATAAAATGCGTTTCCTTTCTATTTGTAATTATGCATCCTAATACGCATTAATTATGGCAGGCAAATAGCTCAGCACAGAATATGCAGAAGAAAGCCCCCCCCTCCCCTGGATAGCCCAGAGCTAACTCGCCAGCCGCAGTAGCATTACAGCAAGAAGCTCTCCAGGGAGAGAAGGCTTTGGTAGCCAACACACAAACATGGGGATGTCCCTTCTTGGAGGGGGACAAAGATGACAGGAACAGAGAGGCAGGGGAAGCAGCGAGCTCTGCAATTAGTGCCAGGCAGCAAAACAAACAGGGAGGCAGCAGAGGGGCATCAGCAGTCGCCTGTGTGACGGGGGTTGCAGGGATGAATGGGTGGATGGAGCAACCATTGGGCACAATAGAAACTTTACTACAGATCTCCCTGCCCCTTAAGTGGAGGATCTGCGATTTGGATGTCCCACCAAAAGATCAGAGCAAGGGGAAAACTGAAGTCCGCTTGGGTGCAACTAAGTTTTTGCCCACAGTAGCCAGAAATGACCCAGGAAAAAGCTGGCTCACACCAATCCTGACTCCCTGGGTTGTGCTGAAGGGTTGCTCTGGGCTCCTGAGCAGGCTCACAAAACCAGCGCTCACTCGGCATTTGCTGGGCTTTTATAAAGGACTAGATCTGTTATTGCTGACATTGATTTGTCTGGCTTGGGCAGCACAGAACCAATAATTACGGTGAGTTTTAATCAATCCCCCATCAATTCAGCTGCAGTTCAATTTGCGATCTGCCTTGGCAGTGACACAGACTGGGGGGGCAGCGTCAGAAAATGATTAGAAAATCAATAAGCAACTCAGCCAATAACTCTGTCTGGGCGGTCAGGGGTGACACGTCCCTCCCCAATGGGAGGAAAGCTGGCGAGACGTGGTGCCCCAGCAGCCCTTGGCCAACCACCTCCACACGCCCCTCGTCTGGATTTGGGATGGTTCCATTAATCCAGGGAGGCAAAGGGATCCTACAAACCGTTAGATAGCTCCTCAAAAGAAAAAGCTGTTTATGGTTTGCCACATTAGACCCACAATACTTGGGAACCTGCTTCAAACTCCCAGACCATCCTTCACCAATGGAGCTGACAAGCAAAAATATCTCAAAGATTTGGTACTTAATCCATGCTACGGAGACAAAAAAGGAGGTAGGGGGAGATTCCAGCTCATGGTCTGCTCCACAAAGCCAAGAAGAAGCTGTTACCATACAAATGTAATTCCACTGCCTTGCGAATCCACTCCATCTACGCAGCAGTGAACTGGTTTCTCTGTGATGACGCCCAGCCCTGAAAATTGCTCTTGGGAGTGGAAAAGAAAACTTAGTTTCTTGTTTTCTTCTGCATTAGCACTGATAATACAGATCCGACAGCTACAATGCAGCAACCCTGCTGTTACCGATAGGTTTGCGAAGGTGAAACTGCCGGCAGCTTGGTGAGGGTTTGGCTGATGGCACAGCCTGGCACCAGCTTGTCCCCTCCTAGTCACACTGGCAGAGCCCCCAGGTCTTGATTTTTGCCATTGCAGTCAGCAAGCGAGCTCTAAGTACACGTGGAAGATAGATATGCTGAATAAAAAAGTGCTATTTTTACCTGGGTTTTGGAGAAATGGGCTTTTTTCCCTTTTAAATGACATCTCCAAGGTGACACAGAGTGGCTGAGCTGGCAGGACCTGCTGTCATGTGCCCTCTGCCACTCCAGGAAGGCCACCAGAGCCAGCCTTGCTGATGCACGGGTCCACGATTTGGAATGAAACGGAATGCCTGTGCCCACCCCCACACAGTGTATGAGACCACATGGCCTAAGCACAGCTCCTCCACCCACTGCCACCATCCTCAGCACGGCCAGAGCAAACACAACGAGAAGAGCATCATCTTCAAGGGGACAGCAAGCATCTGCTGAAACCCGTACAGGGTTGTGTCTTTGGAAAATAAGTATCTGGACGAGGCCCTGCTCACGTTAGCAAGCAAAGGCTCCTTTTTTTTCCCTTTCTCGTCTACAAAGCTCATTAGCAGTGAGACAGGTGAGGGGGTCACTGGAAATAAAATCCGAGTCTCATTACTGACACAGATCCCCAAGACGAGAGGACACCAGCTCTCCATCTGAGCTGCCTGCCAGGGTTTCTCAGCTCAGCTCCTCTCTTCCTTTATTAAGTTTAAAAAAAAAGAATATTTAATAAAGTGTTTCTGTAGAGAGTAAACTGCCCTTTTTATTATTCTGCTCTGTTTTCTCAACAACAGCAGCCTTTTTGTCAGAGATAAAAACTCAAACTTCTCCTGCACCAGGGTTTGGGAGGTGATGCTCTGGGCACAGCTTGGCTCCTCAAAAGTGCACAGGGAAGCTGACACCAACCCCCTGCTCCCAGTGCTGCTCTGGGTACCAGCACCCATGTCTGGATGCATCCAGAGGGGAAACACAGTACCCTGGGCCCTATGCAGCTTCCCCAAGCTGCATCCTCAGCACCACCAGCCTGAGACTGCACAAAAGGCAGCAGAGGCACCAGGGCAATGTCCAAAGGCCCTAATGACCCTGCTTTGTTTTGAGGCATTCTCACTTCTCACCAAGGAACCTCTTCAAAAAGCATTAATCTCAGGCACTGCTGAGGTACAAGCAAGAGCCAGCATTTTAATGAGCTCCAAACAATGCACTGGCATGTATTTTATTTGCTTGTTGGAGCTCAGAAATCATACAAATGCAGTAAACTCCTCTGTGTGTATATGTGTGTGTGTGTACATATATATATGTATATAT